TTTGTATCATCTGGGTAGAAAGGAGAAAGTTGATTGTTATCATGAGAATTGCAATGCTCTAAAATAACAACAAGCTAACCTAGTTTACAGCTGGCTGAATCCTGCAGTTCTTCATGAAACAGAAGTCTCATATTTTACTTGATCAAAGGGAACCATCCTCCTCTCTGATGGTGTAAATTAGTTAAATATCTATTATTAGTTGTACCATTATGACAGGAGATATTTTGCCAACATGAAACGTTCATCAAACTTGGGAGTTAAAAGAGTGGGTTAGAGTCTCTGTTCTATTGCTTTCTGGTTGTTGGGGAGCCTGAACTAGCCACTTGGATGTCCAAACTTGTTTTCCCATCTCTATATTGGGCAATATTAACAATTAGCAATGCTACTAACAGGATGTTCTGAGGAATAAGACATATGTGACAAACCTTTGTAAAGTTTGTTGTTTTACTCTCCATAATGGAAATAACATTAATAGTTGCTCTGCTTGGGCCAGCAGATGGGGTGGTGGTTAAAGCAATGGACTCTCACATAGCTGACCGTGGTTTGAGTCTCAGACCTGATAGCTTACTTTCTCACTTTCCCTTTCTCTTTCTGTCTCCCTCTGGTGAATGTACATGCCCTATAGCAAACTACATAGTAATAATAATAATAATAATAATAATGTGGGGCTGGCAGGTGGCATGGTGGTTAAGACATTGAACTTTCACATGACTGACAACAGTTCAAGTCCCAGACCTGATGGTTAGCTTTCTCACTTTCCTACTCTCTCTCTTTATCTCTCTGGTCAAATTAAAAAATAGTAACAATAAATAAAATTAAATAAATAATTATTTTTAAAATAAAAGCTATCTAAAAATTTTAAAATTAAATTAAATAAATAATTCTAAAAAATTTCTTCTCTTTTATAAACAAGAAAACAATCTTTCAATGTCTCATATTTTTAGTTAAGAAGGCTTTAAAAAATATTTTTTACACTTGCTGTCTTCTGTGATACTTGCAACGATCCTGAGAAAGTGGCATGAAGATGAGATTTGGTCCTGTATTCTGTTGTAGGTACGAAGAGGTTTAGAAGAAGACTAAGAATAATAATGCATATACAACAACTGAGAGAAAAGCAAATATACATAAATACACTTGGGGCCAACAAGTTCCATGGTGATTAAGGTGTTGGACTCCCACATGGTCAGCTGTGATTCGAACCTTGGATCTGGTAGCTTAATAATCATGCCATGAGCATGTGTTCCCAAAATCCCAGGCTGGGAAGAGATTACGGCATGGCCATATCCCTGTGGGAGTGTGATTTCTCATTTTCCCTTTCATTCTGTTCCTCTCTGGCAAGTGCATCTGCCCTATGGTAAAAACCTTAAAAAAATAAATACATACATTCAAACTAGATAAATGTTACCATAAGTCTAGGCAAAAAGCTGAATTCAGACTCAAAGTTCCTTTTAAAGTTTAGTATGTAGAGCTGACTGGGATGATTAAACAGTTTTTCATTTTTGTTTGTTTCTTGTTTTCTTGTTGTTGTTATTGTTTGTTTGTTTGTTTGCTTGCTTGTTTGTTATTCCCCGAGAGAGAGGGCATAGAGATAGACCCTCCTCCAACAGGGTCCTCATACTGAGATTCAGCCTTAGTCTTTGCAGCTTAGAACACAGGCATGTGTGCCTGGCAAGCTCAGGGAGGTCCCAGGATGTAAACTGAGGGCCTTTCCTGTGTGGGTCCAGTTACGTTACTGCTGGACACTTCTTAAAAATGTAAGTTTCAAAGCCAATGATGGCATTGCAGTAAACTGTAACACTGTGAGACTGACCCACATGGGTGAGTTCCAAATTCAAGTCTGGAGACTTCCCTGGTACATTGGGCACATGTGTGCCCTTCTCTGGAGGTGGCTGAAACTGGGGGACAGGGAGGGTGGTCATGGTGTCAAGGCTTTGTTGGGGTTGCTGTCTTGCTGTCTCTGTCTGTCTGTCTGTCTGTCTCTCTTGCCTGTGGAGGAAATAAATAATTTTTAAATAATTTTCCATGCCCAACCTTAGCAATTCTATTCCATGGTTTGCAGTGGCACCTTAGAGCCTGCCTTTCCAGGAGTCTTATGTGGTTCTGATGTGGCAGTCCCAGGACCACTCTTACAGACATTGTATCCGAAATGAATGGACAGTTGTAGGGCTCATTTCCATGAGGTGGGAGTAGAGGGAACTCACTAGTTTGCTTCTATCAAAAAGAGCACATCTTGGCTAGTGTTTTAGGGACCGCATAGGAAAGAGGAATAAATGTTCCAAGCTGGGATAAGGTAGAGAGGGACAAATGAGGTCATTTCTTATCACAGGAGATTGACAGGATTAGGAAGGAATAAGAAATAGCTTTATTATGAAAAACACTCAGGAAAAAATAAATAAATAAATAAATAAAAACAGGAGAATGAATAGAAAGGAAGGAAGCAAAGTGGTCCCAAGAGTTCCGGGGACCTCTTCTTTCATGAAACTATGAAGCAACTATTCTTTCACTCTCATTCAACCTGAAAAGTACAACTTTCTCTATTTTATTTCAAGCACTCTTAGAAAAACAGGCACAACTTTACCCCGTTCCCAAAAAGCCAGTGACACAATTGAGACAGAATTCCAGATTTGAGAAGTAGTTGCATGGAATGTACTGTGTACGGAAGATGAGACTAGGTGCTGAGCATGCTGAAAGGAGTCAGTCCTCCAGGTTGTGGTTGTACCCCTCATTCTCATTCACAGTGTCTTGGTCAAAGTATAATGATGAAATTGATGAGGCCAGCAAATGGCATAGTGGTTAAAGTGTTGGACTCCCACATGGCTGACTGCAGTTCGAGTCCCAAACCAGGTGGCTTCAAAGTTACACCAGGCGTGTGTGTGTACATGCCCAAACTCCCAAGAGAGAATGGAGGAAAGGGGATTGCAGTATGACTATCCTCTCTGCGGAGGTGATTTATCACTTTCCCTCTCACTGTCTCTCTGTTCTCTCTCTGGTAAGCATACTCACCCTATGGCAAAAACTCTTTCAATAAATTAATAAATATGATACAATCAATATATTGAGAACTGCTTCTTGATATGGCACTTAGAGACTTTGAAGTTCTGATGATGTTTGGTGAGTATTTCCACTACAGTGTTTTGATCTTTAACTCTCTAAAAGTACAGATTTAAGCCCAACCTATGAGCTTAGTGTTTGGATCTGTTATAAAAATCTCTAAGTGATGTTTCTTGAGACATACATCAGCATCTCAAAACTAGTTTTCATTTGGGGACTCACCTTCAATGAAAACATGCTTCATTTTAATTAAGTGTGCTGACTGACAGTGTGGCTACCCATAAACCAGGCAGGAGTATAAGAAATGTAAACCGTTAAAAGATGTCATCTTGCAAAGCAGCTAAACATCTCCATTCATGGAGAAGCCTCCAGCCCGAGGAACTAAGTGAACATAATTAGAAATACATCTGGGTATTGGCCTCCTATCTGAAAAGGTCACATACACACCTTCCATTGGTGTTGGGTATGTTCCATCATTATGTTCTGTCCTTACTCATTCGTCTCCCACTGGTTGCCAGATGGCCATGATAATGTTGGTATCCTTAACAACTGTCTTGTGCAATTCCCTGCAGCATGGTAAGGGCTCGAAATATTGAATGTTTTCCCTTTGGATAAGCAAGTGCTATGTCTGGGAATTGCTTACAACCGCTCTGATGGTGTGGTTGTGGAGCAGTGGCAAACTGGGTCATGGAGCCCAAATCCAGCTTGACGATGTGCAGGTGGCAGGCTACCAAAGGGAGGTGTTTGCCATTTCTCAAGTTTAGGATAAAGGAAAGATTCATCTATGCAGAATCTGTTTTTTATAAATAAGCCTAAAATATAGTGAGATGTAATAAAGCATTGAGATCATCAAAAGAAGCTTCACTCTCTTTGCTGAAATGTGATCCTGCGTTTAAATTGGTTCTGATGTAACTAACTCAGAGGAATGGTTGGGGAGTCCACTGGTATGATTCTCTACAATGTCCCAAGTTACCAGATAGGTTTGAAGAACATTAAGGGATTGGGTGTATGGGTGTGTAGAGGGTGGAGAAGGGGGATATATCAATCAGATTGGGATAGATCATGCTGCAATAACAAATGAGCCTCAAATCATAGTTGCTTAACATAACAAAGATTCATTTTCTGCTTATGTTATATGTCTATTTTGAATCTACCAAAGGTTCAGTTCCATGTTCTTTTCACTCCAAGATCCAGACTGGCAGAGTAGCCACTATGGGAACAGTACAGAGGCCAGAAAGGAAACGAAGTACTAAGTACTTGGTGGTCAATGGTACACTGCATCTTAAAGCAACCTCTTCTTTCATATGTCATTGGTCACTCTGAGTCACGTGGCCACTGGGTTCCAAGAGACTGGAAGCATCAGGAAGCACAGGCTTTCCACAGGCCCAGAAAGAGAACAGGAAATATTTTCTGAACAGCAATAATGACCCCAGAGCCAAGGATGATGCTATTTAGACTCATGGACATGTCTCTGGAGCCAGATGACCTTTGCAGAGGTCCTCAAGTCCTAAAAGATTTTATTATCCAATATAAGAGCAATACCAAACTGTGGGAACAAGTGTAAAGAAGCTCAAAAGTTCTACCTTTTCTAATGAGATGATTTTAATACTTAAAAACATGTATCAGAGTCTTTCAAAACAGTTTTTCAGTTCTGCTTCTTGCTGGGGATGCACACATTGTCTAGTATGCCTGCAGTCATCCCACTCCTCTCCACTAACAGGTTACTCTCTGCAGGTTGCCTGAACCTTTACTGAGGCTCTGGGTTGGTGAGATGGGTGGAGAGGATATTGGCACTAGCCGGACTGTGATAATGATGAGCTGATGTCAGAGTCTGATGAAGAAGACATCTCTAGTACAAAACCAGGAATGATGACTGAAACCATGCCATGGTGCTGCAAGTTCTTTGTTGGAGGGAAGAGGGTAATGAAAGTGTTTTCTTATTTGTCTAGGGGAGGATGAGGAAGAAACGAACGTGATAGTTCTCAGCTACCCTCAGTACTGCCGGTACCGCTCGATGCTGAAACGCATCCAGGATAAGCCGTCTTCCATTCTAACGGACCAGTTCGCCCTAGCCCTGGGGGGCATAGCAGTGGCAGCAGGAACCCTCAGATCCTGTACTGTCGGGACACCTTTGACCACCCGACTCTCATAGAAAATGAGAGTATATGCGATGAGTTTGGTGAGTCTTTTTTTTTCTTTTTTTCCTACCTGAAACTTGTGCATGTGTCTAGTTGTTTTCAGTTCTTGTGAAGAGCAGTGAAGGGGAACAGGCCCATTTTCACAACCCCCATGTGCCACCCCACTTCTCCCACTCCCCCATTATTGCAGTATAAGGTGTCGTTGCCTCCTCGGTAGCCTGTTTACTATGGGTAAAGATGAGTGTTTAGAATATGTTGTTCAAAATAGAGTCTGAAGTTGTTTGGTTGCCCTTGAAATAAGACTTTAGATCAGGAAGCTTACATGTTAGTTCTTTCTTAAAAGGCTTTTACTAGTCAAATGCTGACTTTTCAATTTAACTCATTCTGTTTTCAGTGTCGTAAGATATAAAAATGCACCAATTATCAGTACTTTAGTACTATAAGATGAAAAGATAGATACTCATGTCCCTGAATTTTTACACACACACACACACACACACACATGCGCTATGCCCACCAAAGATAGATATGTGCACACATACTTTTATCTACTTGTCTGCCTAGCCGACTGGTCATGTGTCTCTATAGACAGAGGCAGGAGAAGATACCACATCATCAGTTGGGGAAACCCTACATGGTGCAGAGAACGACTGGAAGTAAGTTTAAAAAGATAATTGTTCTCTCACATCTTTACTTTTTCATCTGTTTGTTGAAGAGATTGGATCCTATCAGTGGTTCTCAACCTCTTCTGGGCAGGGATATCAGAATACCCTGGGGGAGCCTTATCAAATCATTTTGCACATGTTCCCTGGGAACCCCTATACTTACAGAGACATGAACACCCCCATTCTTACCTCCTCTTCTCTGGAATCACCACCAGAGATGACCACCAGAATGACTATGAATCTAGTGGGTGGAGAAGAGGAGAAGGTCCCTGGCCTACATATATCACTGGGTCCATTTGAGCTGGAGTGTTCCTAATTCTGTTTGGCCCTTGGTTTGAGGATTGTACAAGTTCAGGTGAATCTGCTTAAACATGGTAGAACTTGTCTTGGTTTTGGGGAGCCCACTGTGACCTTTAAAATTAGATTCTTCATGACTCTGGCAGCCCTGTTTCTGCTGCAGGCAGGACTTTGTAAGTTAATGTATGGGTGCAAAGGGTGAGGATGAGGGGATGGGATATGATGATATGAGAAGGAAGGGAGGAGAGGGAAGAAGGAGAATAAAAAGATCTAAAGTCACTAGATTCTAAAAGTCAGTATTTTTTTTTTCTTACAAATTGCTCTTTCAAACATCTTTCACAACTCTAGGGTATCAAAAGACTGTCAGTCTAGGGAACCAGCAGTTAGCGTAATGGCTATGTCGCTGGACTCCCACGTAGTCGACCGCGGTTCGTGTCCCGGACCCGGTGGCTTAAAACTCACGCCAGGCGCGTGTGCGTGCATGCCCAAGATCCTGAGAGGAGAATGGAGGAGAAGGGATTGTGGTGTGACCATCCCCCCTGGGGGGTGATTTCTCGCTTTCTGTCTCTATGTCTCTCTCTGTCTGTCTGGCGAGCGCATGCGCCCTACAGTGAAAATCTCTCCAAAAAAAAAAAAAAAAAGAGTGTCAGTCTATAAGAGACTAATAGTATTTATGTGAGTTATTCCTCTGTCAAAGAAATATTTATTGTCTTTTTAAAAATATTCAAATAGCCTTTTTATTAAAGTAAATATCCAATATGTTCTTTAAAAATTATTTCTTTTTTCAGATCAACATTTACAAGCATTGGCTTTTAAATACTTTTGTTTGGGTTTTCTTCCATATCTTCTATTCCCAAACAATGCATCTTTTCTGTCACTCAGAAGGTCTCTAAATTCCTGACACAGAACAGAACTGAAAGCACACTTTTCCCCACTTAAGAGTATTCATAGTTAGAGTTTCACAATGTAATAGAATGAAAAAAAAAAGTTTTACTCTTTTTGGCTAATTTAAGAGTTATTAGTCATTGAGTTTCAAAGCTGTCACATCTCAAATTGGTAATAGAAGTTCCAATTTAACAACGATCACAATGGTGGTTAAGAGTTACTAAATTAGTTTTAAATGTTCTCACAAACACAAGCACCTGACTTTTGAATGTTTTCCTGAACTTTCTTCTGGTATAGCTAATATTAATGCTGTTTTTCTTCTCCAGCCTCTTAGAGTAGAAGCTTTCTTTTTAAATAAAAGTACCTTTGAAGAGATACTGGGTGGCTAGCTTAATCATCAGAATATTTACTTTTGTAGTCAAGTTTGTGCTTCAGATAGTTTGTACATCTTAAAGCATTTCATGTTGTAAGTGATAAATAAGCTTATTTTGACTTAATTTGAGCACCTTCGCCAACATCACCCTCCTCACCCTCACTGTGTTCATCCATCTAAATTTCCAGAGTAGTCCTCTGTTAAACCTCCAGCCAGTTGTATTTGAAATTGACATGGGTTCATATGTTTGTTAAAACGTGGCGCTAGGTTTTTCAACCAACAGTTGGTGGAAGAACATAAATTTAATTAGTGACTAGCATTAAACAAATGTTCCTAATATTAAACACTGCCAGATGACTGAAACACTTCTGTCAGATTACCGAGAGTGCCGGGGGGCACGCAGATGAATTTTTTGACACAGTATATATTCTGTATCACACGTTTGGCGACTTCAGTAATTGGTCAGATGTAATTTAGGTAACAGTATGCCTGGGCTGTAAAAATCAAATTTTATTAGCCATATCACCAGGTGGATGAATGGTGGAGCTGATGGGATAGAGTTTATAGCATTTAGCAGGAGTTTATAGCATTTAGCAGCTACACCTTTGACACATGAAATTCATAAATTGCCATAACATACCTCCAAAGTCCTTCTCAGAAGGACAGTGTCTGCTTTCCTATGATTGAATAATATTTATTTTATTAACTAATATACTCTTGCTTTCTTCTATTAAATGGAATTATGGAGTGGAGGTGGGAGGGGGTACTCAAAAGACAAATAAAGCCTGGTCCTTGCCTATTTCGAGGATTTAAAATCTAATTGGAGAAGACAGGATTAACACACGTGAAAGGTTAACCAATATTACAAAAAAGTCAATGATTAAGTATTTGGTGAGTGTTACAGAAAGTAAATACATCAGGAATTTAGCAGTGGGCTGGGCTGGGCTGGAGGGCTTGCTGGAGATGACAGTCAGATGAGGAGTACGGGAAGGTCTCACAGAAAAGGCAGAGCTTGATCTGGTTTTAAGATATAGAGAGCAAGTTACTAGAAAACTGTTGGGAGGAAAATGTTGGCCCAGCTACCCTGTGGCTGAGGCTGGATGGGAGGCTCAGGGTTGATTCCTGGTCCATCCTAAACAGACTGGGTGCACACCTACAGGGGTAGCTAACTGAAACTGCTGGGCAGGAGGGTCGAGACATGGTGCGATCCTGTCAAAAAATACTTCTGTCTTGGGGCCAGCAGGTGGCATGGTGGTTAAAATGCTGGATTCCCACATGGCCAACTGTGGTTTGAGTCCCAGACCTGGTGGCTTGAAACTCATGCTGGTGCACATGCATGCATGACCAAAATCTCAGGAGAAGAATGGATAAAGAAGGGATTACAGCATGGCTATCCCCCTGGGGAGTTATTTCTCACTTTCCCTCTCACTGTCTCTCTGTCTCTCTGTGGTGATCACATGCACTCTATGGCAAAAACTTAAAAAATATATTATTAATATATCTCTTTCTCTTTTTCACCCTCTTTCTTTTTCACTCTCTTTCCTTTTTCTCTCCCTCTTGCTCTTTCTTTCTCTCAAAAAAAAAAAAAAAAAAGGAAAGAACAGAGAAAAGGGAAAGAAAAGAAAACTTGTTAGAAATGTCCGAATTGCTAAAGACTCATATCCTTCCTTTCCATGTTACACAATGACTGATTTCAACCTGGGTCTCCTGTTGGTCTCTCTTAGGTTTGCTCTGTCCTTGTGCACTAACCATTGGGTGACTTTTATACATGGCCTGGTGCCTCTCTCCCAGTGGGGCCTGAATATGAGTTACTGCGGCAGGACTGCGGCAGGACTGCGGCAGGCCTGAGGAGAACCCAGGCAGTGTTTCTGGAACTGGAGCTGACTGGTTTTCTTGGACAAGAGTGACCCCACATCTCTGTTTGTTGTAACACTTACCTGTGTTCCTCAGATTCCTCTCTCAAAATAGGCCTTGTGTGGGACAAGCTTGCCCAACTGCCCAGACACCTCCCTCCTCCCGCTGTTGTCCACTGAATAACAAGTTTAATTGAACAATAAAAGTAAGGCTTTTAAATCTAGGAGCCCCTGTAAATAAATTCTCCGTGGAATTTTATGAAGCTATTTAATGAAAAGTTTGATTAGAAACTATTAAAGAAAAATAGAACAGATGAAATTTCATCATTTAGTCCAACATTACAGTAGTGTCATTTTGATTTTTATTTACATTGAGATATTCAGAATAGAGTAAATATATCCTGGTTTTAATTAACTATGCTCCTTACTTGGGAAAGGTTATTTTAGGCTTGAAGGGTTTTGATAGCATACCATCTGCTTTCTTCACTGTATTTTATTCAAGTCCCTTCCTTGCTTACAGCGCTGTGCAATGTTTAAACCTATGACATAAGCATAAATTGAATCATATTAATGGTAGGTGATTGAAAAGCTTCAGCCCCAACATCCTGCCCGCATTCTTCCATCTTGTCAGTCACAAAGCTCTTCAAGGCACTGTGCTCGTTCCTTAGCACCAGAGAATTGAATATTTTTAAAACTAAAGCAACGGACTCCCCATTAAAGCGTTATGAAAACTCACGGTATTGTTCACGCAATCAGGAAATGAGAGTGTAATAACAATGAGGGGAAAGCGACAGGCATGGCCATTTTTTTTTCTTCATAAAAATCCTTACCCTATGCATAATTCCTGCCCTCCCTCCCCCCGCCACTGTCCTGTTTGAACCTCCTACAGAAGGCATTCTCCAGCAACATCTACTTTGCTTTCATCTCTTTTTAGAATATGATTCCTCTTTTGTAAAATGGAGACTGTC